GGGAATAAGGGCCTACTCTAGGTCCTAGTCAACCTCTCTCCAAACCCATACCCGCAAACGTCAACCCGAAACCAAACCCCGAATCCTGGGTCCGCGACTCCCAAAGTAGGGTCATATTACAGCCAACTTAAGGATACTATCCACCTAGTTGGGGGGTCACCCTCTAATATGCCCAAAGACCCACTATTAAGGACCATAAGGGCCCTATTAAAGGGCCATTGGGGGTCCTGGCAGGTGTCAGATTTAGGATTTAAGGTTTTCAGATTTATGCACTTACAGCCGCACCTGCAAGTGGTTCTCTCAGTAAACCCTGGAGCCGGGAACCACAAGGCTCGAAGCTTAAAGCACAAGCCGTGTAACACACCCTAAACCCTAGAAAAGCCAACTCTAAACCCTCAAACCTCAAACTTCAACCCTAAAAGCCCTAGACCGAATCCCTCAAGACTTCAACCCTAAACCCGAAGCCCCAAAGCCTTGCAGAAACACACCGACAACCGAGGCTCTCAATCCCAAACACTAGGCCCGGAACTGCATTGGTGTTTAGGGTTTAGGGTTTCTCGTTTATGGTTTAGGGTTGAAGGCTTCGGGGTTAGGGGGTTTGGGGCCCCTTGCCCACCATCATCGGCTTTGTCCTACAAGCAGCTGCTGGATGCAGTACTTTGCCTTCCAAGTACTCTGGTGCACAAAACCCTGAATCCTAAACCCATAAACCCTAAACCCCTAAAGCCTAAAACCCTAAACCCCTAAACCCTAAATCCTAAAACCCCACAACCAAGCAGCTAAACCTCAAAGCGACATCCTTGGGGGCCTGAGCTTTGGGTTCAAGGCACTTTAACCAAAAGGATCCTAAATATCTGCATGGTAGAAACTAGCCTTTCGATATCAAGGACTACTGCCAAATTGTGGTTTGTGTATGTATCCAAAATAAGTATATATAGGAGCCCTAAACCCTGAACCTCAAAACCCTAGACCCTTTGGGATATGATGCCTCAGGAAGCAAGCCCAAGAGGTTTAACAGGGCTTCCTTGAAACTCCCATATCCCTAAGGAAAGGAATATACCTTAAATTATGGTGGGATCCCTAATCTGATTCATTTAAAGTGTATCGAAAGATCCCTAAACCCTAGAATCCCCTGCAAACGTATGTCGCAAAGTGTACGTATTCCTGGGGATATTGGCCCGCGGCTGCTTCCGTAGACCCCTTTGAGCCCCGAAACCCGAAACCCTTGGCCCTGCAAGCCATCCCTTGCCTGCATGTCGATGATCATGGCCCCCTTCCCTTGATAGCCCGGAGTGTACCTGCGGCTGATGGACAAAATCCTGCATGAGCCTAAGGACTATAAACTATGGGAGCTATGGTGTATTCCTTATAATGGGTCATGCAGGATTTTGTCCATCAAGAGTACCAAACTGTTTCTCAGATGGAAGGGAGGGGAGCCAAAGCACTTCGCTGAATTTCGATGAGTAGCCCAAGGCCCACGAGCCCCAGAACCCAAAGCCTCTAGCCTATATAGTGAAGACCGGAGGAATGGAACATGCCGTATCTTAAGCACCAGACAAAAAGCAATTGTAGAACTTCCTGGCTTTTGCTTCCAGAGTTCAAAGGTTTATACGGCTATTAAACACACCTCAAAGGTCTCCAAAGCTGGAAGGAGGGTGGGGTGATTCCCAACCCAGATCCGTATTCCGCCCTATAAACCCTACAGCCGCAAACCCACAGCCCAATCGACCCTTCCCTGCACCCGGCGTTTCGGGTGTTGGGTTTAAGGTATGGGGTGTGGGGGTTCGGCCAAAATCCCAAGGGTCAGCCTGAAACCCGAAGCCCTGCATAAACCCCAAAGCCCTGCCTGGACCCTAAAAGTATGCAGACTACCGGTCCTTCAAGGTGTTGGTCCAATATTCTGCCGCCTTTTGGGGGTGTAGGTATTTTCTAAACCCTACTTGGAAGGGCAGGGGACTTAGTAAGTAGGTTATAAGTAGGGTTATAATTGGGGTAACTCCATTTAGGGTACTTGTAACTCTACTTGTAACCTACTTACTAAGTCCCCTGCCCTTCCAAGTATGGGTTGGAAAGTCACGAGACGCAATCGCCCGAATTCTTGAGTCTGGCTTGCTCCAGCCGAAGGCCACCATGGTCTTTGCTCTCTGCCAATGACTGGTCACAAGCATCAAGCAACAGAATGTCCAGCGCAGGCCGTCATTGAACAACTTTTAACGTGCATCAGGCCCTTTCTTGTGGTGCATGCACGCCTCCAGCAGAGCACCTCAAGGTATTTGCGCGAAGAGACACAGTATGCACGTGGAAGTCTCCATGCTTCCGTCGCTTCGGAGCACCGTCCGACCCGTTTAGAACCCTGAAACATAATCTTCAGTCCTAGCAACTCTCAGCGCGGAACTTGCGCTTCACAGGAAACTTGCCCAACCAGTAACCCTTAGCTTTAAACTCGCATGTCAATTACTCCGAATGTAGGCTGAAGCAACTGTAGGGTGATGTGCTTAGGTTCAGGGCTTTGGGTGTAAGGCTTTGGATGGAGTTCAGATTACAGAAAACCTTGCCTCAGCTCTGTAGATTTGGCATCAGGCTGTAGGTAACGGACAATCGTCGAGGACCACAAAGTGAGGAGGGCAGGCAGGATTAAGGACCCCATATGTAAGGGCTCTCTGTTGGGGAGCATTGCACCTTCCTCCCTCCCACCTCTGGAACCCTTTGAAATCGTGCTTCCGAAGCTCGCTTGATACCATCCTGCTTTGAAGCATTCTTACCTTCGAAAATTACATCCACGTGGGCTCCTCTTGAAATCGTAAGTGATGCGGGTTTAGGGTACGGCTTTAGGGATCAGTATCGCTGGGAAAAACCTGTTCTGGTACAGGGCCTGGGCTTGCGAAGTTCATGATTGACGGGCCAGTACCCCTTTTACTTCTGCAACACGTTGGCATGCTTTCTTCACCCTACCTATGACATGCACGACCGCGGCGGAACATCAACATCGTTGTAAAACATGGACCTCAAAGACAAAGCCCTTAAACAGGTCAAACACCGTCACACACAAGGAATCCGGGAGAGTAAGGCCTCTTCACTCCAAAAGGGCGCTTCTTGAACCTCGGCAGTTTAGGATCTCGGAACATCCCACGCATCCCTCACACCGCACATTCAGCTTTAGCAGAGACGATTACATCAGTACCCCAAGCAACCGTTCGAGACCCTTTCGAGGGAGGGGCCCTGCCAAGACGAAATGGTGAGTGTTGTTTGCAATGCATCTGACATCCGAGATGTGAAATATATGTGCCATTGGAAGGCAATGGTGCGTTGGGTCAAAGGGGTGCATGTTCCAAATCAGAAGACCGCATGAAACATATTGAAGCATCCTGACATCGCAACAGCTGTAACCGGAAGGTGTTAAGGAACAGCCTGTTATGATAATTAAACTATGACTGCACTTCAAGTACCTACATCATCGTCGGCCGGGATCATTGGAATGCAGACGCCGGCTGGCTGTGTTGTCTTTACCTAAACGCTAGTCCCTACAGCATATACAAAGCTCTTCGTGTATGTTGGAAGGTTGTCACTCCATCATGCAGTTCTCTGCTGGCAGCAGCCGGATATTCTTCGCGAGGAGTCATTGGCACCTACCGGGCATCATAACTGCCCCTCAACAAGTACAAGGCTGCAGCGACCTCGAGCAACCGAAATTGCGAGGAGAGGGGGTCGGGTACACGAAAAGGCCCTGCTACTCCCAGAGGAGATGCAGAGCCAATCTCGCTCGAGCCGCGGCGCCTGACGCCTACCACCCTAAATCCTAAACCCTATACCCTGAAGCTCCAAACTCTAACCCCTAAGCTCCACGTTGAACCCTTCCAAAACTCAAAGACTTCACTCTCGCAGCATTTAGGTGAGGGCTTTAAATTCAGGGTCCACCTGGACCCTTCAGGGTCTGGGGGGTCTCGGGTCTTGGGCTTTGGGGTTTAGTTGTTTGGGGTTTCGGGGTTAGGGGTTTAGGGATTTAAGGTTGCCGGTGCAGGGCTGAAGGTGCAGGGTTTCGGGTACGTTCGGTGACTTGGAAAGGGCTCCTTTACAAAAGGTCTCCTTTGTCAGTCGGGGGTGTGTACATATATATATATATGTGTGTGTGTGTATGTATGTGTGTGTGTGGGTGTTGTGTGTGCATGTGCCTGTGCGTGCATGCGTGTGTGCGTGCATGCATGTGTGTCTGTGTCTGTGTGCATGTGCATGTGTGTGTGCATGACAGCCACCACGTGGCAGCCAGAAACGTCGTTCTGCATGAAAAAGCCGACCTCGGCAGCACAGAGATTGATGAGAGAGGGCGAGGGCATGCTTCCAGCAGGCAACTGTTTCAAGCAATAAAGCTGTGGTTTCACTGCTTTGGCACAAGGTCTGTTTGCTCTGCCACCCAGCTGTCCTGTAAATCAAGGCCTAAGGATGAGGGCACGCTTGCTGTTGCAATGACAAGATCTGCATGGAGGACGAGGACAGCTAGGCCGGCACATGGCTAAAGTTCCATGGGCACTCAGCCTCAGGATTCATCTGTCCATGCATCGCCCAGGCATACATAAGAAGGTCTCGCAAGGCTGCGTTGTCTCCAGCAGGATCGTTGAATCCGATATCCCTTTTCAGGTGAGACCTCGACTGAAGTAGATTTAGAGTTGAAACCAGCCTGAAGCCTTTTAAGCAACTACTGAAATCTCAACAACCTAGCACAACATCTTTGTTGAATTACCAAGATACTGATCTCTGAACTCCAGCTTCCACCGGTGACGCCACTCACGTTCCCGTGAGATTTTCCATCCACCAGGTGGAAGGTATGCTTTTGCCTCTGGCTGGCTGAAGCCACGGCCCTCTGGGAAGGGAATGGCCTTCTTGATTGGACGTGAGGTCGAGGCCGGTGGAGAGGACCTTGGATCAGGAAGCTGTGCGTGTCAAAGCATTTGATGAGCCATGTTGTGGAAATACTTGCAGCACCAAGCAACCCAAGTGCAGCGAACTTTGCCATGTCTTCTTCTGCTCTGCGGCGTTGCTTCCTCGCCTTGAAGATCTCTTCCTCCAGCTCCCATTCCTCCCAGGACCAGAACTCATCATCAAACTTTTCGAGGACAGTCCGTGCTGAGGATGTAGTTGATGCGAGGCCGAGGACGTCCTGTGGAGCAGCTGGTCAATATCCTAGAACCCAGAAATCCAACATCACAAACAACAAGCTTATGAGAGTCCATGTGCCTTGTCGAACTTTTTTCTGCGTGCTAGGATCTGCTGCAGCTTTTCCACACTGTACGTGTCACCGAGCTGGTGCTTTGCCAATGCCTCCACCAGCTTTATTTCGGTTGGCGGCTGCGGCAGCTTCATCCCCAGCAAGCCCAGTAGCTTCTTCATATAGAAACAAGTCATCTCCACCAGGCCCTGCTCCACACTGAACCTGATGCAGCACATGGCAACAGAATCATGGCCCTTATTCATTCTGCACAGAGAGATAACAACTTGCAATGAACCAGCAAAGCAACTTTAGAAGGGGGCTTCCCACTGACCCTGGCTTCACACGCAGCTGTAGCTTTGCTGACCGTGACGAGGTCGTGGACGGGTACGTGGGTGGCATGATCTCAATCTCACGTGCCTTCCATTTCTGGTGGTTGTAGATGCAGTCGAACTTGACCGGCTTGCCAGTCTGCCAAGCCAGCACCAAAGACTCATCTGGTGCTTTCCTTGGAAGCTTGATTGGAAACACACCAGCCAACTTTGGATGTAGCCTACATGCCACAACGAAAAAAGGTTACAAAACACTATCTGAAACAGGTGGCCTGAATTTGGTTTCGAGGCCGAGAAAGCCATGGCGGCAGGTATAAAGAACCAGCATCCTTGTGTCCTTGTTGGAAATCAGTGCTCCAGGAATCAGCAGCAGGCTCTGCCAAGCCTTTTCCATGGTAGCGATGCATCCTCCAGTCTTCAGCATGTTCAAGGACGAGAGCGGTGCTTCTTTGTGATTCCGCGCCTCAAATGTCAAACATCACGCATGGGAAGATTTGTTAAACAAACAACATCAACACAGTTAGCTTTTATCAAGTGGCAGAGTGATTCGGCCACGTCGGTCGTTCAACTGTCAGGTCACTGACCATGGCCTCACTGAGGGTGACAAGCCTTGGCCGACGTCTGAACCCCTCCTAGAAGTTAAGCTTTTAGTCTCCTTATTACAGTCCATATATAGAAACCCCAAAAAGTTAAAGTCTAAAGAGCCAACCAGAAGAACGCCAAGAAGCGAGGACGAGGGCGTGAACTCATCCTTGGACAATGTCCTTGCAGATTTTGCACACCTTTCCTTAGGTAGAGAAGCACTGCATGAGGACATGAGAAATTGGCTTTCAAACCTGAATTGGATGGCCAAGCCAAGTGTCTCGCGCATCAGGGGTGACCGTGAGGACGGGCCGGCCAAACTCTGTGTTGAGCTTGTCAGTCGATGCACAGTGCCATGCACCCTTTGGGTCCAGCCTGCCATTTGGAGCCTCCTTGCACCTCTTCCTTGCAGCGTTGAAAAGATTCCTTAGCTGTCGTTGGGAAGCCCAGAAATACTCTCTAGCACCAAACCCTGAAACCCAGAATCCAACAATCACTCACACATACTCGGACAGGAATCTCAACTTGCAAGGTCGTGTGGTGGGCGAGGGCGTAAGGCTCGAGGGCGTGGGTGAGCAGTGGCGGCGTGGAATTGAAGCCGGTCTCACTGAGCAGGGACATGTTCTCACGCACCCACCTTGAACATGTTTGCAGAGACTTTGAAGTTTGAAGTTTTAGGTTCTGCTCCCTACCTGCATAGTATGGAGTAGGCACAATGATAATTAACTACGAATGATTGTAACCTGTGACTATAACATGCAAGAGACTGCTGGTTGGGCCACTCCATGTTCCTCAATGTTTTCTGTGCCACAGCGTGAAATGCTGAGGATGAGGGCACCGCATCCAGCCGCTCCAGAGCTTCGAAGTATTGCCTGGGCAGACACTATAAGCACCACTTCTCATGCACTAAAACCCTGAATGTAAAACAAAACCTGCAGCAAAAGCACTTCAGCTCTGGAAGAGAATCCACAGAATCCAGCAGCCGCAAGAAACTTCGTGGTGGCACCCAGTATGCCGTTTGTGTCAAGGCCAATTCACCGGCGAGGGCGACAGCGAAGACCCAAAGGGAGGACAAAGTCTGGGTGCCAGCCTTTGGGTCCATTGTTGTTTGCATTTCACATCAGGAGGGACAGTTGCAGAAACATGAACCAGGGACCCAACAACCAGTAAATATGTCTCCCACCCAGCCTTGCCAGCAGACTCGAGGCCGGCGGCTGTGTCGAGGCCAAGATGCACCAAAAATGCGGGCGAAACAAAGGCATCCAAGCAGCCATAAATGGCAGGCATGAGGCCGCTCTGGACGAGGTCTTGCATCACGTGGGCGGTTCCGTGTGGCCTGTGTCTCAGGCACATAAACATGCAATGTAAAAGATGACAAAACACAATAAAAAACTGATTCGAACTTCTGATGCCAAGCTTCGAGTGCATGCGTGTCATTGACAGCCGAAAAAACTCCTCCAACACACGTGTGATGTATTCCATGCCGTCCATCGCCAGCATGGTGTGCCTAGATGCCAAAATCGCGGCTGTGTACTTGAACGCGGACGAGCCTGCCAGCCCCTTGCGCCTGCTCACCTCTTTGCGGCCCGAGGCTATAGTCATCCTGCGCGAGGACGAGGGCCCATCCAATGCCACAGGCTGTGCCGAGGACGGGGGCTCTGAGGCCGAGGGCTCTGCAGACATGTCCTTCAGCATGGAACCAAGCATGATTGTGTCTTATCAGAAGCACAAAACCAACAGTATGGCTAGATAACCTGACCCATGAATCCATGGCTCCTCACCAGCATCATCGAAAATGCTCTTGCAAAACAGTGGTGTTTCAGACCAGCTGGTCCAGTACTTGCGCTGGAACCCCAAGAAGACGAGGACGATCAGCTCACATGTCCGCGAGGGCTTCCTGACAAGGGGCAGAAACACCAATCCAATCTGCAAACTGGTTTCTCACAAGAAAACCAACTCATGACATGCTGCTAAATTGCAACAAGACTCATGTGGCGAGTCAGGGCCTCTGTGGTGAACCACCGGCCCTTCTTAGCAGCTGTTCCAATCGTTGCATGCTTCAGATTGGAAAGAGCTTGCTTCCACACATACGCCATGTGCTCTTCTGTGCCGAGGGCGTCGAGGGCGAAGTCCCTGCACAGGTCACCTGAGGCAAGGATCAGAAAATTATAGGATGGAGATTGCACCCTTGGCTCCTGAATGTAGGCATGTCACTGTAGAAGAGGGTGAGCAACGAGTTCGGGACGTCGAGGGCGTGCAGTGCTTCGGTAGTCTGAAGGAGTGTTTGATGGTGGGAATCACTGCCATACCTTGTGCTGGTGCTCTCACAGCAAAGAAACATGATGTCTCAAGCGGTGCACCAACTATGCTGAAGGGGCACTAGCCGCTATCTTTTATCTGCAAATGGGATGCGGTCCCCTCCGAAGTGAACACACCTGTGCAGCTTCCAAGCGGGCGAGGATGAGGCCGCTTTCAGTGGCTGCATCAAGTATATCATTGTGAAGTCCTTTGTTGCAAACAACAAACACACATGTGAACATATTGCATTGCTTCCTCTCCAAGAAAGTGTAAGAATTCTTTTAAACATCTCAGAAAAGAGTCTGTGGAATATGTCCCAGCTGATTGTTCCTCGCAGCTTGGCACCATTCATGAGGAAGATCCCCATGTACCAGCCTGCAGAGCCCATGTCCTTGTGTGCTTCTCACAGCACATGTCGGCCCCAAAAAGAAACTCATTTCATAACACCATTTACAAGGATGCTGGCGGCTATAAAGGCTCCTGGCATATGTGGAGGGTCGGGCGACACAGCTGCTTGTCCACCACATGGAGAGGAACTTCGAAGCAGCGTGTGCCGTCCTTCATCTCGATGCATGCCTGGTGTAACAGACACATGACCCTGTAGACACAATTTCAAAGTAAAACAAGAAACACAATTCATTACATCTTGTCTGCTGGCATTCAAGATCTGTTGAAAATCAGGCTACCTCTACGACCTGTGTCGGTCGACTTATATTAAGCTTACGACCTGATTCGGTCGCGACCTGTCCCCATCCATTGTTCATAAGCTGACAAGATGCACGAGGACGAGGACGGCCTGTGATCTTGCAGACCTGTTCCACAAAGTACCTTTTGGCACCTTGTGGGAGGCCGGAAAGAGGACGAGGACTGAGGTACACGTTCAGTCCAAACCCATTGCTCCGCCACAAGGTCGACTCGAGGGCGAGGAGGTGTTCCAAATTGACCTTGCGCTCCTCCTTTGTCGAGGTTTTTGCAACCATGAACTCCTCCAGTGGGTCGTGGCCGAGGACGAGGGCGTGGTGAGGAAGAGGACGTGGACCATCACCTTCCAAAGCTTTCCGTGTCAGCTTTATGGCCTGCGGTGGTGTTACCATGCCAATGCCACCACTTCCGTCCTTGGAGGAGGACGAGGCCTGCCAGGTGGAGGGGTTCTTTTTTTTTAAGGCTTTGGCCAAAAGGACCTGTTGGAAAGGTTTGGTGCAACTTTGGTTGAGGGGTTCGAGGGTATAGGGTTAAGAGTTTAGGGGGTAAGGGTTCTAGGGTTTAGGGCTCAGGGTTTAGAGGTTCAGGTTAGGGCTCAGGGTGTAAGGTTTATTAGGTTTAGGGTTTAAAGTTTAGGGCTTAGTGTTAAGGGTGCAGGGCCAAGCCATCCTTGGCCAAAACCTTTCAAAGAAAAAACCCTGGGCCCAGGCCTGCCATTGCACCAAAAAAAACAGGTCTTTACGAGGCTTGCCAATCGTGGCGCTGTCAAAGGCGATGGAGAGGACGTCACGGCTGCTGAAGGAGACAGAGGACGTGGCCTGCGTGCAACTCAAAATGTGTTTCAGCACAGTGACCTTGGCACTTAGGGGCGATCCTAACATAACACCCTGCCCTGTCCTTAAGCTGCACCAAGGACTCCTCCAGCCACCTCTGGCCAGCAGTGTCATCGCCCAGCCCCAGGGTGTGAATCAATGAGTGCGAGGACGAGCTTCGACCGGCCTGGCTGGGTGAGATCCGAAAACATGGAAATGAAGGCTGAACCCATTTGGCCATTCCCACTATCTGTATGAGGACTTATCCATGACACTGTCACTGTCGTGGTCTACAAAGTAAGATGCGACCAGGCACCTGGATTGCATCCCGAATAGCCGCTTGCTTAACATCAGGGTCAGCACGTTTGCGCTTTTGACCTGAGGCCGAACAAAGTGGCAGCGACCCACTCTTCAGGAAGTCGGCACACTTCCAACCTTAGGTAGTAAAACATTGCAAGCCAGGCATGGTCCACAGGCAGAGGTTTACAAATTAAAATTGAATTTATGGATCTAGCACCAGGAAACAGACTGTTATGAGCCATGGTGCTGGCCTGGTTGGCCTCAATGATCTGTGCCAACACAGTGATGAAGCGGCCCAGTGTCCTCCCCACAGCCGCACAGGACGAGAACCTTGGCTGACTTCTGATCCCCTCCTAAAAGTTAAGCTTTTAGTCTCCTTATTACAGTCCATATATAGAAACCCAAAAAGTTAAAGCCTAAAGAGCCAACCAGAAGAACGCCAAGAAGCGAGGACGAAAGAGTGGTGAGCATCTTCCATGCAGTGCTGTGCACTGGAACTGAGGACTTGGACGAGGACGAGGAGGAGGCCGAGGCCGTGGACGACAGCAGCTCACCAGCAGTCTTCTGCATCATCTGGGTACAGACACAGAAGCCGCGCTCATCTGGCAGAAGACGACACTGCTGCCTTAATATCTCAAAGCCACAAAGCGGTCTGTGAGATGAGGACTGCAGCCTTGCAGCATGCAAAGTCAAAGTATGCCTCACTACTAGAAGGACTCCTATGTAAACAGTGCCAAGCAACCTCTCCTCTGCTGTGGGCTCGAAGAGGGCGAGGACGAGATGCTCACGGAGCTCTGCTGGAGCAATGCAGGTCCGGAGGATGGAATCTGCCACTGCTTCTGACAGATCTTTGTTCGATCTGTCACGCCGCTTCATCCTTGCTTGGCTGAGTGTTCAGGGGTTTTTGGTGCTTGGGGTCCGGCTCCAGGGCTTCATGGATTTGGGGCTTGAGGTGTTTTTGCAACGGATAAGGGTCAAATCTGTTTGGGGCCTCTGTTTGTCTGTGTAATTCATGCCAGGCATCTGCCAGAACTCCAGCAGTGCCAACAGAGCACGGGTGTCCACCCAGTACTCCTGCTCACCATTGGAGGGCGCGATCGGGGACGGCATCGAGGATGAGGGTGTGGCCGGCTGTGACACAGCAGCAGACTCCTACAGGTGGTTGTTCTGTTGGAATATGCTACTGATGTTGTGTCTAACTTTAAATGGATGGAAGGTAAGCATCATACCTGCCAAAATTGTTGGTCCATACGCACTGGAACAACAAAGAAGCCTAGTAACACACACAGTCTCCTCCTTGTCTTTGCTCCTGTGTCTGCTTGCGAGGCTGAGATCCGAGGGCGCACAGCAGGCAGAAAAGTTGTACCACATGAACCTTTTCTGCCATTTGTCGATGTTCCTTAGGTGCACAGCATCCACTTAGAAGGAAACACCTTAAGCTTCCAACAATAACAGGTGCAACTGTTTGCAGCCAGGATTCTCCCTCCAGACATTGCACAGCTTTGTCTTGGCACTCCTGTCCAGAAAGCCCACTGCTGGCAGCACTCGCCTCAACTCCCAATGAAGTTGCTGGCCAGGCGAGGACGAGGAGGAGGACGAGGACGCCGGCCTGCACTTCAATGCCAGGGTTTCCTTAGTTGCTGATTGCATAAGCCCCAAAAAAAGTGCACACTTTCAGTTCTATAGTGGTAATGTTATCCAATAAAGTGTAAAGTGTATTCACTGAGATACTAAGTTTCTACAGAGCCATCTCTCCGGAAAACCTTTGTCTCCAACATCGTGGGCTCCATGGCAGCAAGCAGAGGACGAGGGCAAGGTGAGGAAGAGGACGATGAGCTTTCTCTTGTTTAAGAACTGCCTGACAAGGACAAGGTGAGGAAGAGGACGATGAGTTTTCAGTGAACTTTCTCTGGTTTAAGAACTGCCTGTCCTCTAGGTGCAGGAATCCAGGGACATGTTGAAATGTATGTCACTGTTCACAGGAATCCAGGGACATCTGTGAATGTATGTCACTGTTCACATGAGCCATGCAGGGCCAGAGTGGCAGTGACAAGACCAAGTTGCAGCAGCATGATGCCCTCAACTTCTCTTGTTGAACAGCATTCCCACATCTTGCTGAGGTCATGGCAAATGTTGAACTTGTTCTGCAAGGCCTGTCAAGAAGTTGTAACTATGCATGCCACTGCACAACTGCTGAAATCATGCGGTCAGCACACACATCTCTGGCATTTTGCTGAGGACGTCTCTGCAGAGGGAAGCCATGAAGTCTTCACAAATCTATGGAAAACCAAGGTGTGCTTCTTCTTGCACAGCAAAATCTGACCAATCACTTCTCAAAATTTCTCTGGTCTCCTTCATAGGTCACATGGCCCGCACAGACCTTGGACTGACATGCATGCATCATGTCAAACCGAAACAAAGTTGTGAATGACTTCAGACTTCAGAGTTCACTGCTGGCAAGGCACTCCTCAGCATCACTGATCTCTTCAACCGACTTGCGCTTCCGGCTCCCCTTGCTGCGGGGCGAGGAGGACGAGGATGACGAGGATGATGACGATGGTGCAAGGGATGTCTTTGGTGATGCCACCTCTGGAACAGCTGTGCCAGGGACGAGGGTGCTGTCGACAGGGGCGGTGTCGGCCAGGACAGTGTCACCAGGGGCGTGGACATCGCAGCTGCCGAGAGGGGCGGTGTCAGCGGCCAGGACAGAGCCGTTCTCGCGGCCGAGGACGGCTTCAGGCTCGGGCGGCTCCTCGAGGACGGGGGCAGGCTCAGGAGGAGCTGCTGCCTGCCCCTTGGCTTTGGCCTTTGCCTTCGGCTTCATCGGCAGCAGCTTTGGAACAGGGAAGCAGACCTCGCCGTAGTTCAGGAGGATCTCGCTGTTCTTTGGGATCCCCTTCGTGGCCTGCCTCGGGGGGGGTGCCAGACAAACAATCGAAATAATCAGCAGCAAATGCATAGACAGAAGCATTAAGAAAAATATTTGGATGCATCCAAGATACACGTAGAAGAGGGCGTCGCCGAGGCCGTTGCCCAACCTCACCACGAGCTTCGCATTGCTCTGGCGGGCGAGGCCGGAGAAGTGGTTGATGAACCCTGTCAACCCCGTTTGGACGAGGAAGAGGACGGAGTTGATCGAGGGCGTAGCACCACCATCGTAGTGGCCGAGGCTGAACTTCAGCCTAGGAGGCGCTTGTAAAGCCTTTGAAAAATAGAAAGTGTCCCAAAGTCCTACCTAGCAGCACTCGGTCCACATACGTGGGGTGCTTCTCCAAAAAATCGAGGACGAGGGCGGAATCCTTGAAGATCGGGCCCCTCACCGGGATCTCATGGCCCTTCTTCATCCTCAGAAGCAAGGCATGAATGAAACAGGGAAGGCTCTAGAAAAGCAAGGCAAACAAAGTCCTGTCTGCAGTCATGGCACGCCACAGTGGTGACGAGGCCGAGGCCGGCTTTGTCGCCGTTGGGCGAGGGCGACATCATGATGTTGACGTGGTGCTTCCTGACATCAAGGAAAAGAGCTATCAATCTGTCAATGCTTACTATGTCTGGAGTTGCTAAGTATCAACTGAGTGTCTCCATGGCAATCAGCTTTCGACTGCTCTGCACTGCCCGCTCCATGTTGGCCGAGGACGAGATGTCGTCTTCATTGTCGGAGTCGGGCATAACTTCTTCAGCCAGCTGGGCCATGTCGAGGACGTCAGCAAACACGTGGCATGGAAACTTGCCCTCTTCCAGCATGTCTTTGGGATCGTTGAGGACGAGTGTTTCTGGGGCACTGGGTGTGCGGACGAGGGCGCGGTCGGCCTTCCTGTCCTTGCTCACGACCTTCTCGTTGAGCGAAATCCTTAAGGAGCAGTGGCCGGAAAAGCAGGTGGAAACAACAACAACAAACAAGTGCAAAGCAGCAGTCTTGCAGCAAAGTGACATCTCTCTGACCCGTGCCTCCGTCCAGTGCTGCCTAACACATGCAAAGCTCGCCGCAGCGTTGTGCATGATCCTTATTTGGAGCCATCAACAGATCTCTAGCCTGGACAAGGAAACATGTCATGTGACTGTGACATGATACATAGGCAAGAGTCTGAAAGGATCTCCCGAGGTCGTCAGGCAATGGGAGGGCGAAGGACGGAATGCAGAGTGTGGCTGCACCGAGGCCGCGGGCGAGCTGTGCGTCATTGAAGTTGAGCCTTCGTCGGATGGATACAGCTCATGTGCCACAAGAACAATGCACAGCTTCAGTTGTAGCAATTCCCACCAAGATGTGGAGTGTAGCTTTTTGCAGCGAAGTCACACGCTCATCAAAAGCCCAGGCAGTGGCGCCATCGTGGGCAAAACCACCGAGGGCGGAGAGATCTTCTCGAGGACCTGACGGAAGTACTCTTGGCTTTGCCCGAAGGCATGTGGGTTGATCTTCTTGTTCTCGACGGTGCTGCTGTCCTCCATGTCCTCTGTGTAATCGATGGACGAGGACGAGGTCCTTTTGTGTGTGGATAAGCTGATGAAAAGAAAATCTACCAAGCCCTGCAAATGCAAAAACAAATCTGATCAGTACAAGGCACGAGGACGAGTGCCCAGTCGAGGTCTTGGAGGCACGCTGTGCAAGAAACTGCACATGGCGACAGGCCTTGATCTCATCATTGTTGGCACATGTGCACACCTGGGCTGCACTAACATTACACAGACTGATTTGCTGAATGCAACTGTGTGCATCAAAAGATTTAGAGGGGTGATTAGGGATTCTGCCAAAAGACCGGTTTGCGGAGGTCGAGGGCGACATATGCCTCCATTCCATGCACGACCATGAAGTTGTCGTTGATGACCTGAACAACTTCGCGAGGGCAGTCGAGGCCGTGGGCGATGAGGGCGTACTCGACGTACACCTCTTCTCGCGGTGCTTTCTGCACCAGAGGGCGAAGGGGTGCCAGGAAGGCGAGCTCCTGTCCAAGCAGGTCCTTGAGCTTCTGCTTGACATCCTGCTCCACCGAAGGGTCGTGCCCCAGGAGGACGAGGACGAGGTCGCGGCCGGTGAAGTCAGCGGCCCAAAAGAACCGACCACCGAAGCTGAGGGCGGGCATACCTGACAGGGAATTGGATCAAGCTCAACCGATCTGATGCAAACTCTCAGATATACAAGGCAGTGCTGTGAAGGTTGCCTGGCCTTTGCTGAACTTGTGCGGCCCGCGCCGCTGGCCCACCGATGGCACCACCCACAGCCGCCACGAGGCCGAGGACGCGGACGAGGACATCTCTGCAGGCAGGGCCTTGTCATAGGCACACGGCAGGATGGCTGAATCGAAGATCACGTGCGCCTTTGCTGTGAACTCCTCTTCGGGCGAGGCCGGTGGCTTTGGCGAGGTCGATGTGTCTTCCTCCGCAGTGGCTTTGCACGTGAGGGCGAGGTCGCTTGTGGATTTGTCCACCTTTTCTTGGGCTGCATGCTCTGCCAAACGGCGGTCCTCCTCCTGACAACATAGTACAGCATGTGCAACATGTGTAATCAATGTAGACATGCAATGTTTGTGCCCTCCAGCCTCCTTCTGCATCGCCGCCTCCTGCCTCGCATGCTCCTCCTTCAGCTTGCGGGCCTCCTCATTGCGGCGCTCTGTCTCCTCTGCAGCCTTGCGTTCTGCCGCCTCGAAGAATGCTGTTTTCGCCTTCTCAAGCTGGCCGAGGAGGGTGGCGAACTCGTAGCCCATGGCGGACGAGGACGAGGGCGAGGGCGAGGGCGAGGTCGAGGTCTTCTCATAGTCGCGGGTCATCATCCATTCTAAGAAGCACAAAAAAACAACAACATTACATTCAAGAATACCCAAGAATAACAAGCATACTGCAAGCAAGAAGCCTTCCAGCTTGGTAAGCAGTCCAGCCTCGCCTTTGAAAAGCGTTCTGCGGTAGAGCTGTGGCGCAAGAGGAACGCTGTTCCAGACGAGGGCGTACTGCATTTTCAGCGCCTCGAAGAACCGGAGAAGGTCTGTGAGGACGAGGGCGATCTTAGAGACCTTTTCTTGCGTGAGGGCGACGCCCTGGGTGATCTTCTCCTTGTCACAGTGGCAAATCCGCATTTAGACCGATGACATGCATGAAGTCTGATTGTCTGCAGCTGAAGTACACCATTGTGCTGCACAGTCTCCAGCTTCGCCAAAATGGCTTTCAGAGCCTGAGATGAAGAAGGTTGAAGAAGTCTCGTGCTCAATTCAACTGCAAGCTTGGTTGTTGTTGCATGCCAGACACTGTCACCTGCAAGGACTGTGTCTCCATGTCATCTTGGCCGGGGATGAGGCCGGAGGTGAGGACGTGTGGCGAGGGAACCATGACCCTGGAAGCCACTGACTGCAACAGGAAATTGCAAATCTTCAGCAGGTACATGCAAAGAACACACTGTTTGCAGCCATGTGGCCCCTTGAGGGCGCTGAGAGGCTTCGACACAAGCCACGAGTCTTTGAACCTTAGATCGGATTGATTGTTGGGCTGCAAAAAAACTGCAATTACTGAGTGCTCTTCCAAGTCAAGAAACATATTCGCTACAAGGTAATGCGCATTGCTGCGCCATCCAGACAGGAGCTGCAGTGTGTCTGCCTCGAAGTTGCGGGCGATGAATTTCATGTCCTGGCACCTGTTCTCCAAAATGTGAACAGAACAGTGACCAAAGCAACCTAAAGCCTTCAACCCTAATTAAACACCGCAGGCCTAAAACCAAACCCTTAGCCCTAATGCCACTCTTAATAACACATCCCTAATCCGCAAACCCCTAAACTCTTCAGATCTCATCTTGTCTTGTTTCTACCTCAACCGCTGCCTCCTCGAGGCCGAGGACGCACCCATGCCAAGGGCCTTTGCTGACAGCAAAAGCCTATGCACATGTGATCATGTTCTGAAAGACCAGAGACTGGATTCCAATAATCACCAATGCTGCAAAAAAGCCTTGATGTAGGTCTTCATAGCATCGGCCTCTGTGCGCATGCTCTTGCAGAGGGCGAGGAAGGCCAAGGAATCGTCCATCAAGTGGAGGCGCTTCCGTTTTTCAGCCTCTCGATCAGCAGAGAAACACCATGAATTGCAAATCATGAAGCTGTTCAACATGCAGTCGTGGTAGAAATGTTTGCACAGGTTACAAGTTGTTGGCAGTACACCCAAAAGTAACATTCTCAGAACAGCGAACAATTTGATTAGAGTATAAGAACATGTTGTATGTCTATACCAAGCCAACCATGGCCTGGCCCAACTGCTAATCCTAAACATCCATGAATTCGGCATGCGCTGTGTCCAACAACGCTTCCATGAATGATGACTGCCAAGCCAATGTAGTATGACCATGCCATGACCACTGCCATGTGTCGCCTGCACAGCAAATGCGGTGGAAATGGCGCAGAAAAGCAAACGTACATATCACAGTCGTATTTTGGCAATGGTACATGTTGCAACATAGTTCTCCACATGTGGATGTGGACGAGTGCAAGTGCTTGCTTTCCATCCTTTCTCCAGATTTGCACAGCAACCATGCATGCAGAGATGTCCAATCGACATGGGCGGGAACGTCGCACTGTCCTTGACTTGCCTGCAGCTTATCAAGGAGAGGCCAAATCTCTGCCAGTCTTGTCCTAGTTCCTAAACATAATGTGAAGGCACACATGATCCCAGAAGCCAGAACCTTTCAAACCCTCATGCAAATAGACAATACATGCTTGGAAATCTGAAAAAGTCATCCCATAATCTCAAATCCTAAACCATTATGGGACCCCACCACTCCCAATCTCAGCATGAATTGAAAACACAAGCAGACACAGGAGACAGCCAATGTCTGGAAGGCTAATTTCAAACTTTTCACTGCAGATCCATAAGTTTAAGCAGTGTAGGCAACCCCTGAAAACCTCAATCTGTAAACCAGCAAAGATCTACATAGCCCACATACAGACAATGTTAAGATGCACTGCTCTGCAACCAAAAGTCGAAGCACCATTACCTGAAGGCCTAACATGGATGATGGCTAGCCCCGACTCTGCCTTCTGCTCGAGGCCGCAGTTGTAGATCACGAACTCAGCGTATGTGCTGAGTTGCACCCATGTGACCGCAATGGGCTCATTCATGAACTTCTCGATCGCCTCTGCCTTTGGCCACTCGAGGACGGAGTCGTGGCCAGGTTCTTTCGCACGCGCAGCCATGATCTTGCCATGGAGGGTCCTGAGGGCAGTGAGGGTTGCCAGCTTCGAGGCCGGCAGGAGTCCGTCCGGGCCCACAAAGGGATGGCCAGACGGGTGCCGGGCGAGGACGAATGATCCCACCAGCACTGGATCAAACAGCTCCGGGAACTCCTTCTCGAACAGTGCAACCTGACATGCACATGAGAAGGACATGACATGCAACTCAGGTGGTCTACATGAAAAACCAATGCTGCAACCATGATTGAAAGCTGAGACTCCTGAGAACCATTGCCACCACTGATGCGGGTCCCATACATCGTGGAAAAGCTGGACACTGGCACAGACGAGGGCAGTTGATGTGGCTCCCAATCACCAAACCTTGGATGACTTCTGTGCTTTGACATCAAGACATTAACACTGAAGCCAAGAACAATGTAGGCAAGGAACTTCTTGGCCACGAATGCTTCACAATCAAATCCAACAGCTTCCATTCTGCTGAGGGTGAGGGCCAGGCGAGGCCGAGAGGCACGGTCGAAATGTGATGAACTACTTCAGCCAAAGACGATGTGATCTGCGAAGATATGTCATGGAAGACTCTGGAAGATAGGTCTGCTGCACAGGGCTGGCAGATCCTCCACCAAGTCATGTATATGCTGCCTACATTTGAGATCTGAACCATTGCAGAAGTGTCATGGAAGATTCTGGAAGATAGGTCTGCTATGCAGGTCTGGCAGATCCTCCACCAAGTCAGGTTTTTTTCTGCCTACACTTGAGATCTGAAATTGCAGAAGTGTCATGTGGCACGCCAACAGCAATTGAAACATGTGCAGCAGACAGCGCAATGAAGAATGTATTTTGCTGCCCCACAGCGTCTTGACTTCTTCAAATGATAAAACTTCCCCGCACAAGACTGATCGAGGGCGAGAGTGGCCTCCGAGGACGTTGTGCCCCTGAGCAGGTGACAAGGGTGAGGGCGGCCTCAGAGGACGTCAGCGGGCCAGGGCTGCCTCAGTGGATGTTTCCGGCGAGGACGTTTCCGGCGAGGACGTTAGCGGCGAGGGCGGCAGCGAACTTCTGGCAGAACACCCTTGGATACGTCGCTGCACCCGCCGTCTTCCATCCCTTCCTGGCTGGCCCACTCAAAGATGGGTGCTTGGCCCCAGTCTTTGAGCACTTCCTGCCCCTGCAGGGCAGGAAGACGTGGTCGAGGGCGGTTTCGAGGTCGGTGTCGAGGACGGTGTTGAGGACGGAGGCGTGGGCGGGGAAGAAAGCAACGATCTGGGTCGGCTTCTTGTGTCCCCCGTTGTTGTATTGGCAATACGCCAATTTGTATACCCGCCCTTGCTGCCTTGGCTGAAAAATTTCATTGCTAAACACACTTGCCTGTCACACAGAAAGATTGCATTGCTGTGAAACCGAGTGGCACCAAGGGCTTTATGGCAGGATGCAACCAGAAAAACGAGGACACAGGGTTCTCCATGAAGGCGAGGACGTTGTTGTCCAGGCACTTCTGCACCCTCTTGGCTGTCCAGTCAGCTGCAGCATTGCCCTCCTCGACCTGAGAAGCAGGATGATTACACATTGACATAATTTTCAGCTGTGCAAACAGCACCAATGCACAGTCAGAATAAGATGCTATGCCCATGAATGCTCAGGACATGTGGAGGTGGTGACATGACCTAAGAAAGGCAACAACCCCCACGAACCAAGGAACCAGCCAGGATGTATCCTAAAGCCTGAAACAAAGTCCATGGGCCTTGCAAAGTCCTGCTCTTGTGATGGCACATGGCTTTGGCATCTTTGCCTCGGTCAATGGCGGGTAAGACACAGCTGACATCCAAGAAGCAGTCCTGGCATGTCGTAAATCCATGAACAGGAACTTCTTCTTGGCTGGCTCCTTCTTTGCCAGTGCTGCATTTTTCTTGGATGGCCTGACAGACAGAGAGAGTGAAAGAACAAGACATGTGCTTTTGCAGCTGATGTGCTGTAACGTGGCTTGCCAATCTTCGAGGACGATCCCAACATCTTCGAGGACGAGCCCAAGGGTGAAGGTGAGGCCGCGTGTGAGGGTGCCCGATGTGTCCCACAGAGTTTGGGCCCACAGTCTGGGCAGCCAAGCTGAAAGCAAAAGCACGCCATGGTTGCTGTTCAAGAGGCCTTATGTGAATCTCGGACATTGGCCAACAATCAAACACTGTCATATTGGACAATGTAGATTACAATCCATTCTTGTCACCTTGGCTCCTATCCTTGCACTCCAGTCTTGAGCAGGGTCACTCAGCAGACCAAAGCTGAAATCACGTCATGGTGACAACAGAAAGACATGATCATCCGGTGAGGCAGGAATGACAGACAGGCCTTGGTGATGAGAGAGTGCTAGGACCTTGGCACACAGTCTCACAGAAGGTTCTACTGGGCCATATGAGAAAAGGTTTCTGTAGTTTCCCCCACGAAACACAAGCAAAGCCAAATCCGAGCAAGGTTGACCCCAGGAACATTGAAAGAAAAGCACACAAGGATGCAAAAGCAGAGAAGCAGGACAGTTGGGCGGTGCGAAGCACCGCCCAACGACACCAGAGTCGAGGAGCCAAGTCTCAAGGAAACAACAGCAGAGAACAACAGGGAGCCATGGGCAGTGGAGAAGCCGAATTATCAAGGCGCAGCAGCCAACAAGCAGGAGCCTTGGGTGGCGCGAAGCGCCACCCAGAGACACCAGAGTCAATAAGCCGGGCGGCGCGAAGCGCCGCTCACAAACACCAGAGTCAATAAGCCGGGCGAAGCGCCGCCCAGAGCCACCAGAGTCAATAAGCTGGGCGGCGCGAAGCGCCGCCCAGAGACACCAGTGTCGAGGAGCCCAATCAAAAAGGAACAAAAGCAGACAGGCTTTGGCTGACATGCAA